CTGACATGGGTACTGCCAGGAGGAAGTCTCCTGCATGGGGGGCACGCACTGCTCTGAGGCGGGCTTTCTCCTTGTCTGATGTTGCGGCGCTGAGCATGGCATCAGCTACTTTTTCCACTAGAGGGTGGTCCCAGCCAGACTGTTTGTGTTGTTTTGTTGGCTCTATAATGGTGGCTGGGGCTGCAAGAACATCCCACTGATTTGAACATTCAGTGAAAGCAGGATCGTGTATTCCTGCTGAATCTCTCAGGGTTGCAGGTAAAATATCTCTGACGAGGTCGTGCGATGCATGAGAGGAGGAAAGGAAGGCTGGTAGAGCAATTTGGGAGGCTGTGCGGACACCAAGGCCGCCGAGTCTTACAGGAAGGGTTGCTTGCTCCCACTGAGAGTCGTCCAATGGCAGGTTCAGGACTTTCACCAGCATGGACCTCAGAAGGGTGTCATACACATTTAACTTAGGGCTGCTGTAGGATGGAGAACATCTCAGAAAGTAGGTCAACTTAGGGAGAGACAGGCATCTTGTAAGGAGAAAGAGAGCATCATGGGCATCAATCTTGTCAATCCTGTCCAGCATTCTCTTTAGGTCAGTGATTTTTGCAGCCAGGACCTCCTCGATTGCTCGTGGGCCAATGGGGGCACCCAGGAGAGTGCAGTCCGGTGGCTCGACAACGAGAATGTCTGGAAGAACATTTTGTATTTGCCCAGTGATGTCTGGGTTGCGGGAGATTATTTCACATTTGGATGCATTGAGAATGAGGCCTAAGGCTGCTCCCTGCTCCTGGATTTTCCTTATATCCTCCAAAATGGTTTCCGGAGTTCCAGCTAGAGTGCCATCATCCAGGTACCAGATGTTTAGCTCGCTTGTCAGACTATCAGTGACCTCTTTGATAGCTAGGCAGAAAAGGAGGGGGGCTAAGGGGTCACCTTGTTGGACACCTTCACAGGAGTTTATTTCATGCTCCCCAAAAAGAAGCTTAGAGTCCCCACTGTAGCACGATCGGATGAATGGGTAAAGGGGACGGAAATGGTTGTGTACAGCCCTGAGGACAGCGTCTCGTCTGACTTGATTGAAGGCATTTTTGAAGTCAAGCTTTACTAGTGCCTTCTGGTCCGGGAGATCAGCAATGTAAGCCCGCGCTGCATGTGCTGCAGCTTCACAACCTAGGGGAATCCCAAACCCGAGCTGATGAGGTTTCAGCAAGGTGGCTGCTTCCTGGCTGATAGATCTCACTGCAGCCTTAGCTACAAGGCGTCGGAGGGTGTTGCCAACGGCAATGGGCCTGATACCCCTATCCTTCTTCTTTAGAGCACAGAGTGCTGCTCCATCATTATATATATATATATATATATATATATATATATATATATATATATATATATATATATATATATAATACAAAACTCAAACAAAAGATGCTTTATCACACATAGGGTTTCAACCCGTTCTCGCACTTGCTTAGAGTCAATATTGGCTTATTTAATAAGTGCATATGTGACATACTAATTGATTGTGAATATTTTAGTTTACCTTGAAAAGCTTCATAGAAAACACCAACCTCACCTAACCTTCTTAGTATGTTAAGATAAGCATCTTATTGCGTCTTAATTACAATTATTACTTAACCTATACCGTTGATAGGTTAAGTAATATTTGTAAATAAGAAGCAATAAGTTGCTTATCTTAACATACTAAGAAGGTTAGGTGAGGTTGGTGTTTTCTATGAAGCTTTTCAAGGTAAACTAAAATATTCACAATCAATTAGTATGTCACATATGCACTTATTAAATAAGCCAATATTGACTCTAAGCAAGTGCGAGAACGGGTTGAGGGTTTAAACCTCATGGAACCGCCTACCCGCCAGAGCCGTAAATGCCAAAACATTACTGCCGTTCAAAATCTAAATGAACAAAAAATAAACAGAAAAAGGAGGAACATTTGACAATGCTTCATAGGCCCGTCGATGCCACTAGATAGATGGTGTTCCTCAGGTAAATTGTATTCACGTTTATCGTTTTCGAGTAACAAAATATAGGGACTCGGCCAATCACCTCCCAAACATATCATGAGGAGGGGGTCACTAATGTGTCCTGTTTTATATCTGTCTTCTTCCCCATCCCCCTCGTCCAATTACTTGTGTAAAGGAGGAAATGTTTATGTTTATCTCAGAATGTTCGGTAATACGTTTATTGCTTGTGATGTGTGTCTATGTATGTATTAACACGATGTACTGAACGGGGTGAGAATAGCTTGAGCTACCTCATCCCTTTGTGTGTATTTTACCTCAATAAACTTATTTCAATTTCAATTTCCTCGTCCAACTCCGCTCTGTCCTCCGGTTCCCCCCCTCCTCCCGCCTTCCTCTTCCCCCGTCCCCCATTCTCCGATCATCTTGCATCTTCACTACATACCATCATTACTATATACTATCTTCCCTATTTACTGTAACCCAAATAAATTTCGTTCATCATTTTCGAGTAAATCATGAAAATGCGCGAGTGAACGGTGAAAGTAACTTCAAACTCAACGAAAAAACATCCGCGAATTAATTTCAGGCTTCAGGAAAATTGCACGAGAGAATAGGCTACATGCTGTATTTATTAAAATATTATATTTGGGCCAACTACGACCAGCCTACGTCCATCCCGTACCCCAGACTATATCTCCCTGCAAAGTTGGGTAAGGTTAGCCTGACCATCTAACTTCATCATTGGACATACAATCAAACATTATCTTATAGTATAAATTAGAGAGCTATCCAGCAGTGCCACAGCCCCGCTCCTGTGCCAGATAAGCCCACTACGGGTTCACCATAGCCCGTGCTACTTAGAACTTTTTGTTCCGAGTGGCTTCATCTAAAACAACAACAACAACAACGGCAGCGCCCAGGATAGTCTGTCTGTCTCCCACCACCCAATCCACCTCTCTTCTCTCCCCCTTTCCCCACATCAATCCCTTCTTCCCTTTCCTTCCCTACCCCCTTTACCCCTCTTCCCCATATTTTCCCGCCCTTCCAATATCCCCTTTCCACCTCTATCACCCTTTTCCTTTCCATCTCCCTCATTTTCCCCTTCTTCTCCTTACCCTTACCCTTCCCCTCGGCCCCATCACCCTATCATCCCCTCTTCCCTATCATCCCCTCTTCCCCCCTTCTTATCCATCTGACTTCCAACTTCAAGCAGACAGACATTTCCATTTATATTTATGTGAAGGGCATAACAATGCACATCACAGCTATCAAATCAACAACATTACCTTGCAGCAGATTGATGAAGAAAAGCACCTTGGAGTCAGGATCCAGCAGATAATGAATGTTGCACAAGTGAGAGAAGCAGGAAAAAACTATTAATAATCGAACGAATCATTTGCCTCAAGTAAAAAAAAATGGTAATTCACTTGTATAAATCTCTGGTGCTCTCCCAGGTGGACTACTGTACCCAAGCATAGAAACCTCACCTTCAAAAGGACTTATGTGTCTCAGAGAAAGTTCAACAGACAACAAAAATCCTCTTAGAAGTAAGTCGACTCTAATACCAGGAACGGTTGAGGGCCAAAGGGTTAACAACACTGCAAACCTGGCATGACAGGGCGGATCTTAATGAAACGTTTAAAATAGTGAACAAGTTGGAGGATGTTGATCTTGACAATGTCTTCAAAATGTCAGATGTAACACAAACAAGGAGCAACGATTTCAAGCTCAACAAACCTCAATATAGTAAAAAAAAAAAAAAAGGACTAAGAACAGGAGATTTTTTTACTCACAGGTTTATAAACCATGGAACCGCCTACCCGCCGAAGCCGATAACGCTAAAACTCTGTTAGGTTTTAAAATCCACCTGGAAAGGATCATCAAGGCATATGAAGGGACCTTCGACAAGCCGCCGGCTTCCTGTCCTCGTCAAAGCCACTAATGTTAGTGGCCTTCATGTAAATCAGGTAAATCCGGAAAACAAATGTTTTTCACCTATAAGGTTATAAACTCCTGGACCCACTTACCTGTAGAAGCCGTAAATGCCAAGGCTTACAACAGTTCCAAATTCAGTTGGAAAAAGAGCTGAGGAATAATGGGCTTCACCTTCGACATGCCGCCACATTCTTGTCCCCCGTCGAGGCCACTAGAGAGATGGTTGCCCTCAGGTAAATTCAGATAAAAATCTTCAGGAAGTGTTAAATTCATAACTCGGATAAATATAATCTAATAAAAATTTGACATTAGTTGAAAGAGGGGGAAAACTAACTGGGGAAAGTGCTAAGCCATTACGACTATATAGCTCTAGGAAGGGGTAAGGGTAAGGATTTGGGATACGACGGGGAAGGAATGGTGCCCAACCACTTGGACGGTCAGGGATTGAACGCCGACCTGCATGAAGCGAGACCGTCGCTCTACCGTACACCCCAAGTGGTTGGAGATTAGTTGAAAGAATGATAAACTAAAGTATACAAAATACAAAAAATCATAAAGTTTACAAAGCTGTTCTTTAAAAAAAAAATGGAGAACAAGATGTCCTTGTAATGATTAAATGATTCGGAGGAGACAAAAATCAAGTGAGATACAAAATATACGAAAATAACATTAACAACATAACAAAGTACATACTCACAAGTAAATAAAAAACGGCTCTAATAGAAAAGTGGGAGATACCTGGATTGTGCATCATCTCGTGTCTAATATAATTTATTCTGGATTTTTGTATAGAATGTGCTAAGTGATTCGAAGTATATATAACAATAAACCTATGATCATATATTAACAATTGTTAGACGTCTAAAAAAATGACAGCAAATTTTTGTTTATCTAAATGTATTTGTTGGATGTTAAAATTATTAAAATTGTATTCACATCTAAATTCTTTGTACTTTGGTATTGTACTAAGCCTTCATTGCAGACGCTTGTGGTAAATCAATTTCTATCATATGTAACAGTATCTGTCAGAGCTGTTCACACAGAATGTCATTTATAAGTCAATAACATGTTTATAATTTATTTGTGTTGTTGGTGCAGCAGTGGCATATGAACCCGCTGTTGCTGGGCCCAAGAGTCGACGGAGAGTTCCTGGTCTCTGACCCCGCGACTCTCCTCAAGGATGGAAGGCAGAAGAACGTCCATCTCATTACCGGAATCACTCAACATGAAGGGGCCTTAATTGCCTTACGTAAGTATCATTCGTCTCAATATTAATCATCTGTTATTTATTTAACGAGAGAGAGAGTGAGAGAAAGAGTGACAGAGAGGGAGGGGGAGGGATATGGAATGATGTTTGGACTAACTTCATTATCTGAATACCTTTCATTCTCTTCTGCGAGAATATAGGTCCCAATAATTGCACCAGAGGTGGAATTATTGGACCCCATATTCTCGGGGGAAAGAATGAAAGGTATTCAGATGAAGTTTGTCTAAACATCATTCCACTGACTGATAACTTGAGAAAGATGTTTATAACTATGAACCTAGTTACTCTCATTAACATAGGAAGGATCTTTGGATTCCTCGTTCCCGAGAGACGTCACAGGTGTCAGAGGCCTCCCAAACATTAAATGATCTGATTCAGAGGTTCATGTTGTGAGTAATCATCCAAAAGGTAAGACAGCGGTCGATTATTGACTTAGGACTCCATTTCATTGACTACAGTTTGTAGATCTTGGAGGTAAAAATAGATCCTACTCTACAAACCTGCTCACATTTTTGGAAACGGTAACCAACTAATCAAGACAACGGCCTTCTGGTGAATGTTGTATACATGGATTTTGATAAAGCCTTAGATAAGGTACAGACTGAAAGACTTGCAAGGAAATTACAGGCAAATGGAATAAACTGTAAAATATTAGAATGAATCAAATAAATGTTGAAACAAAGAAAACAAATGGTCGTGCTAAATGGGAACGAAACTCAATGGAGAAATGTAGTAAGTGGGGTGCCACAGGAGTCCATTTTGGGGCCAACCCTTTTTGTCATAGACAACAATGACATAGATGAGAATATTGCAAACCACATCATCAAATTTGCAGATGACTCAAAGATGTATGATAAAGGAAATGGGAAAATGGGATGAATGAAGTGGGAACTGATAATGATATTGAAGCTTGACAAAGAGATCTATATGAACTCCAAATGGTCAGACGACTGGCAAATGCTTTTTAATATCGACAAATGCAAGACCCTGTATGTGGGGCATAACAATCCATGCCACAACTACCAAATTAATAGCATTACAGTACAGCAGATTGATGAAGAAGATTGACCTTGGAGTCGAAATATACTCATCTAACCTCATCACTTGATGGGGTGATGAGTGACACCCCATCAGTTGTGTCACTTGATGAGGTGAAGTGACACTCCATCAAGTGTCAGGGGTGACACTTCAACTGTGTCACCCCTGCTTTGGAAGTTAATAAATTGGCTTGTTGGTTAGTTATAATGTTGGCTACAGTGCCATAAGCTCTCGAAGAAGCATCACATCTAGAACACATGCAGACTTTTTAACTGTTTATAATTTACAACATTTCGAGGAAACTTAATGGTCTCTATGGAATTCTGTTCCTTAGGTATCCTGCTCTCTATTTTTCTTGGAGCTTTAGGGGGTAAATGTTCATCCCAGCCAATCTTCTCAAGCTAACAGTTTTTCTTCACTGCTGGTTGTCCCAAAGAAGTTGTTCACATGCAGGTTATTGCTGATTTATGTTTTATATGGGCTTAATTTCTTTAAATGAGTATTCACGGTAGCTTGGAGTATAACTGGCGAAGAAGTTGCTCCAAACAGCACTGAAGCAAATCTGTAGTGAAGATTTGACTTCCAGGACCCTTTGGATCCTTCAACCAGAGGAACTTTGTGTAATTTCGGTCTTCTTCTTGGAGGCCCACCCTAAGAAATGCTTTACTAATTTTGGCTGTATATGCATTTGTTCCTTTATGGAATTTTACCAGCACATCATACATCCTCTATCTTAGGCTTGGCCCAGTTTGTAAGCAATCGTCGAAACACTACTTTGTTTAGATTTTTCACTGTAGTTAAACATACTCCTCAACAGAATAATAGTTGAGGATTTTAATACTGCGTGGTGCGATAAGTAGTGTCCCTTCTTTCGGTTGTCATCTTGGATGACTTCTATAAATTTATTCTTTAACTGTTGTTAAATAATGCCATATAAGAGTTGGAGATGCTCGGGACTAATTTATAATCTCAACCTCTGAGATCTCAATTGATTTTGTGCCATACATTTATGTATGGGCAATTTGGGGTGATCAATGTGCCGTGGTAGTCTGACCCAGTACTGACCATCTTTACAGACCATTGAGTCTAGATAGTTCTGATAAATGGTTTTCATCTGGACTGATTTGTTCTGGTGTAATACCAAGAGTGTCTAGATCCCAGAGCTTATGTACTGGTTCCAGGCCCTCCTTTTTCCTTTGGCCAACTTTGAGGGGAGATTGTTCCAGACGAAACCAGGCAACTATGACAGCCTCAGCTTATATACTCTCTATAGAGTACGTCTGACTGGTTCAACTTTAGTACAGGTCCAATCAGTAACTTACCCTCTGCTGAGTTCAGAACAGCCATCCTGTGCAATTTATATTTACCTGAGATAAGTTGTGTCAATAGCCTGACCCTATCAACACCCCCTGTATCTTGGATATGGTCAGAATTAGCTAGAGGGTCAGAAAGTTTGACTTCCTGTTTTTTCAGGCATTTTATCGTGGTCCCTAGACAAGGCACACATAATAATAATAATAATAAATATGATAATAATAATAATAATAATAATAATAATAATAATAATAACAATAATAATAATAATAATAATAATAATAATAATAAATATAATAATAATACTACTAATAATAATAATAATAATAATTGTGGAAAAAATACTGGATTAAGTTAATAAAGAGGAAATATTTATGACTTTGAAATTAAGTACTGTATATACTACATTTGAATACTAAAATAAACAGGCTAATTCTTAGCTAAGGGCAAGGGTCCTATGTTTGGGTTTAAGTTCAATCCTTTGTCTGCTTCCTAGTTACTGTACTGGTAATGGGCTGTAGCCCATTTTCACTAATAATGATGAATTGATCAGGAACATAATGATTACTAATACCTGTTACTCAGATCACAACTTAATTGAAGTTATGACAACCATGGGGAGTAGACCTTCAAAACCAGTCCAGATTCCCGGTGGAGGAGATTTCAGCAAATTCAACTTCAATAATAAACAGATAAACTGGGAGCAAATAAACCAGGACTTCACAGAAATAAACTGGGAAGAACAGCTAGAAAATGCAAACCTGAACCAGTGCCTGGAAAAAATAAGCTCAGTAGCACTAGAAATATGTTCAAACCGCATACCTCTAAGAAAAAAAGAGGAAGAGATGCAGATTGGAACGGGAACGTCGTTCCCTATATAGGCGAAGAAAACGAATCGTGGAACAACTTGAGAGTCGCACCCTATCTCAAGAACGGCGAAGAAGGTTAGGTAGAGAAATAGAAACAATTGAACGGAAGCTACAAGAATCATACAAAACCCAGGAGAGGCAAAGAGAGCAAAAGGCCATCAGTGAAATAGAAAGAAATCCGAAATATTTTTTCTCCTATGCAAAATCAAGATCAAAAACCACATCTAGTATCGGGCCCCTGCGAAAGGGAGAGGGAACTTTCACCGATGACAACAAAGAAATGAGCGAGCTACTGAGGACGCAGTACGACTCTGTTTTGAGCGAGCCATTAAACACACTAAAGATTGATAACCCAAATGAATTTTTCATGGATACGATACCAACATCAAATCATATGTCAGATGTCACCCTATCCCCACTGGATTTTGAAGAAGCCATAAACAGTATGCCTATGCACTCTGCACCAGGCCCGGATTCTTGGAACTCCATATTCATAAAGAACTGTAAAAAAACCACTATCGCAGGCTCTCCACATTCTGTGGAGACAAAGCCTAGATACTGGCGTTATTTCTGATACACTAAAAACAGCAGAGATAGCACCACTTCATAAAGGAGGAAATAAGGCTGAGGCAAAAAATTACAGACCGATAGCGCTAACATCGCACATCATAAAATTTTTGAGTGCTAAGAAGTAAAATCACAAAATACATGGAATCACAGCAACTCCATAACCCCGGACAACATGGTTTCAGAACAGGGCGCTCTTGCCTGTCGCAGTAGCTGGACCACTATGATATGGCATTAGATGCTATGGAAGACAAACATAACGCGGATGTAATTTACACAGATTTCGCAAAAGCTTTTGATAAATGTGACCATGGTGTTATTGCACATAAAATGCGTTCAAAAGGAATTACCGGAAAAATAGGCAGATGGATCTACAATTTCCTGACCAACAGAACCCAATGTGTAATAGTCAACAAAATAAAATCCAGCCCATCAACCGTGAAGAGCTCAGTCCCCCAGGGTACTGTGCTTGCTCCAGTACTTTTTCTCATCCTCATATCGGACATAGACAAGAACACAACCTATAGCACTGTATCATCCTTTGCAGATGACACTAGGATCTTCATGAGAGTAGGCAACATAGAGGACACGGCGAACCTCCAGTCAGATGTAGATCAGGTCTTTCTATGGGCTACAGAAAATAATATGGTGTTTAACGAAGATAAGTTCCAGCTCATGCGCTATGGAAAAAATGAAAATATAAAAACGGAAACCACGTACAAAACTCAGGCAAATCATAACATAGAACGAAAAGGCAATGTAAAGGATCTGGGTATACTCATGTCGGAAGACCTTACCTTTAAAGAACACAATAAAGTAGCCGTCACAACTGCAAGAAAAATGACAGGTTGGATAACAAGAACTTTTCACACTAGAGATGCTATACCGATGATGATACTTTTCAAAACGCTTGTGCTCTCTAGAGTAGAGTACTGCTGCACAATGACAGCACCTTTCAAAGCTGGAGAAATTGCTGACCTGGAGAGCGTGCAGAGATCCTTTACTGCTAGAATCCACTCAGTAAAATATCTAAACTATTGGGACCGACTAAAGAGCCTAAAACTGTACTCCCTTGAGCGCAGGCGGGAGAGGTACATAATAATTTACACATGGAAAATATTAGAGGGGCTGGTCCCAAACCTGCACACAGAAATAACATCACATGAGACCAGAAGACATGGCAGGATGTGCAAA